ATAAAATGTAATCTAACAGGTTTATAAAATCTGTTTCAAACATCTCTAAGTGCATGTGCAGAGATAAAACACATTAATAAGACACAATGATCTTGAAATCTAGTCAGCTTTTTTTAAAAAAATATAGTTGAAAGTAGTTTCAGGGGATGCCTCTCCTACTAGATTCAAAGTAACAGCCATGTTAGTCTGTATTTGCAAAAAGAAAAGGAGTACTTGTGGCACCTTAGAGACTAACCAATTTATTTGAGCATAAGCTTTTGTGAGCTACAGCTCACTTCATCGGATGCATACTGTGGAAAATACAGAAGATGTTTTTATACACACAAACCATGAAAAAATGGGTGTTTATCACTACAAAAGGTTTTCTCTCCCCCCACCCTACTCTTCTGCTGATAATAGCTTATCTAAAGTGATCACTATCCTTACAATGTTTACGATAATCAAGGCGGGCCATTTCCAGCACAAATCCAGGTTTTCTCCCCCCCCCCCCCCTAAAACAAACCCACTCTCCTGTTGGTAATAGCTTATCTAAAGTGATCACTCTCCTTACAATGTGTATGATAATCAAGGTGGGCCATTTCCAGCACAAATCCAGGGTTTAACAAGAACGTCTGAGGAACAGTGGGGGGCAGGAATAAACAAGGGAAATAGGTTACTTTTTTGTAACCATTCCCAGTCTCTATTCAAACCTAAGTTAATTGTATCCAATTTGCAAATTAATTCCAATTCAGCAGCCTCTCATTTGTGTGTATAAAAACATCTTCTGTATTTTCCACAGTATGCATCCGATAAAGTGAGCTGTAGCTCACGAAAGCTTATGCTCAGATAAATTGGTTAGTCTCTAAGGTGCCACAAGTACTCCTTTTCTTTTTTCTCCTACTAGAGTTCCCTTGTCAATTTTGGGTTTTTGTTGTTTTTTTTTTTTTTACAATGTTTCCTGTTTTAAAAATTATTTTTCTGTCCCTCAATTGCTCACAAACAAGTGAAAGTAAGGGCCTGACTTTGTAACCCTTAGGCTGAATCATACTTACTTATGTGAGTAATTTCATTAGGATCAGGAAAATCAGTGAAATCAATCAAACACAAAGTAAACAAACAAAAAGACATTTTTCCCTTCTAATTCCTTGTGGTAATCTTCCCACATTACTAAAATCATTAGTAGATATGTTTTCACACCATGTGATTTTTGAGTTGATGATGTCCTCTTGATTAACAGCATATTTAAGACTTAGGGTGAAATCTGTCCCTATTGAAGTCAATGGGAGTTTTGCCACTGATTTCAATAAGGCCAGGATTTCCTCCTTACTGCAAGTCTACTACCAACTAATTAATGCAAACTATTTCTGTAAAGTCGGAGGAAGTTCTTACTGTACATTTCCCTGTCTATATATGTCTGTTTTGGTATTTGCATTATAAGCTACTTTGCACAGAAGTTTAGCCTTCGAAAGAAGGCTCCTCTTTGTTTCTCTATTTCAAATGAAGAGGGGAAAGATCTGACCCATCAGGTTATAGCTTGGTTGCATAATAAATTGGGCATTGACTTCAATTACCTAAGTATTATAATATTCCTTGTGAATTAAGGGAGTTTTACTTTGGCTCCCAACTGCTTTATATTAAGATTTTTTGTAATGTAATCTTTTACGTGACTTTGTGCTTATTTCCCAAGGTGAGCGTGGTAATGAGAGAGGAGTTTACTTTATGAAGCTGGCAAACTGTAAAGATTAGATTAGAACAGAATACAATATGGAGGTGACCTAGAAGCAGATTTTCATAAAGGGAACTTTAAATTTGTTTGAAGTAATTTCACTACAGAATTTCAGTTAAATCATCAGTGAAAATGGTGCATATATACTAAAAATATTCTCAGCCGATGTAGGTGAAAATGAAGAATAATATTTTAATCTCAAGTCAGCAGAGTACTTCTAGATGATACATCTGAACAGCAGTCTTTATCTAATGACATGCTCCCCAGTTGGCTGTTTGGGATCAAACAGACCTTGTAACAAACTGAACTGCTGCCAATATCATCACTGCTGCTAAAACAAAATAATTAACTTTTGCCAGCGTGCTGAGCTACAACTGTGACAGCACATGTGCGTGGAAATTCTGTCTGGGACTATGCCGAGAGGTAGCAGTGAAAACATGCGGGGGGAAGAAGCAGGTACTCACCAGAAGTGCAGTGTTTATATGTGCAACAGTAGTTTCATTAACTGCAGAAATTAAGTACTTTAGTCATAAATGTAAGTGCTTCTGGTTTGAGCAGGCTAGTTACGAAACTGAAACAAATCCTCATAATTTTACCACACTGTTTAACTGACGGTGTGACCTGAGATGTGATACAAATTCTTTATTTAAGAACACAACCTAATCAAAGTAATAATGCAAATTAGAGAAGAAGACTAATAAGTTAGAAGATAACTCATTACTCTATATTTTAAAATGTCTTGGCCAGTCTAACTGATAGAAGTCCCAAGCAGTGGGGACTGCATAACTTCCCTTTTCCAGAGCTTAGTAGATTTCAGTTTTTCCTGATATTCAGCTTAATTTTTCTGCTTTTTAAGTTTTATCACATTCTTCTAGTTATACCTCCATGCACCACCCTAAGTCACTATTCTCCCTCTTATTCAGCTCTTTCAACCTCTTCTCCTGCTTCTTGAAAATATTCATAGCCCTGGGCTGGCCCGAGCGGCTCCCTCCCTCCCCCACTCCCCTCAAGAGGGCTGGCCAAAGCCCTCCCAGCCTCCCATCCGCACGGGGCTGGCCTGAGATCCTGCTCCCCACAAGTGCCCGGGGCCAGCCCAACCCCCCTCCCCCCTGCACATGGGGCTGGTCCTCCAAGCCTGCACACAGAGCTCATGGTCTGAGGTCCCCCAGCGCCCGCCCGCCCACGCACTCGGCTTCTCATGCAGGTCAGGTCAGCATGAGACGCTCCCCCAACCCATCCTCCACCGCAGGGCTGGCATTGCCACTCGTCTCCTCCCCCAGCTCCTACGTGTTCCTTTGCGTCCCGCTAGGGTTCGCACCCCATTTTTTTGGCAAAACTCTGCATTCATCCCGTTTGCTCTTTCCAGCTGATGATCAGAGCAAAAGGGCAAATGCCCAGTTTTGTCAAAAAAGTTGGGACGGCTGGGACAGGGCCTAAAATATGGACTGTCCCAGCCAAAATAGGACATAGGGTCACCCTACATAGCTCTCTTCTGAAATCCCTTCCATTTGTCCATATCTTTTGGATAACATTGTGTCCAAACGTAATATTCTCTCTAAATTTCCTTGTTTTTAAACTTCAGCCATCAGTAGTGTTTGAGTGCCTCACAAGAAGTTTGCAATCCCGAAGAGGCCAGAAGTTCCTGGGGCACAGAGGCACAGCACAAAACTTGCATCACTAGGAGGCACAGGGAACTAAGCATTTTTGTGTCCTCTCAATTGTGGGCAATTGCAGGGAACAGTGAGGGCTCCAGAGTATTGTATACAGCCCTATAGGGCTGCCTAAGTTACAGCTTTCTATGGTTGATAGTGCTTCCCAGCTTCCCCACAGCACTGTGTAATGCAGCCCTGCCCTCAGCATATACCGCAACCCTGCCTGTGCCCATGACATGTCCCCTATGCTGGGGCTTGTGGCATGAGCCTCATAGAACAGTGTAAGCTGCTTTGTGCAAAGCCTACACTAGGGGGAATTCTTCTCTGGCTGGACGTGGGACTCAACTGGCCCTTTTACAGTGACAGCGTATGGGAGAAAATCCCTCTTCTGTACTGAAATCTTAGCCCCGTTGCAGCCAATGGGATTTTGCCATTGACTTCCATGGACAAAGAATTTTGCTTTGAATGTCTAAAAGGCAATCCTGAATATTGTGTGCTGCTTCTGACAACCTTTAAAAGGAAACGAAAGAAAAATGTTTGGAAACTTGCTAATAAATTCCTCCTTAAACCCAATTGGTCTGAATAATAGTAAAAGTAACGTTTGTAAAGCACTTTGAAAATAAAAAATGCTATATTAGCATAGTGAAAGTTTGGAAGCAGTATCCCTGCCATGTGGAAAAGACTGGTAACAGTTCTAAATGCCAAATCTCAAGTGTTCCCCCTAAAGTTCGCTAAATGCTAAAAATGACTGAATTTTGCTATCCTAAGGTCAACATTCCTGTCTTAGTGGACAGTCAGATGAAAATTGGATATTTTTCCTTCCTATGCTAACTATCTTAAAGAGTCGTCTAGAGTGGCCCTGATGGAGAAACTAATAGGAACAATAAGCAAAGTTATCAGGTCACTTGTGAAAGGACTACAATAATTTAATGATATGCATTCACTTTCTCCCCTCATGTTACCATTTCAGTTTTATTTACTCTTTCCTTATAGAGTCTTCTAGCCCTTTAGATCTATAGTATATTTACATTAGGGTACTTTAAAAAGGGGAAAAGTTGCCTGTAAGTATTTGTAAGATATGTCTGAATAATTACACTGTATATACTGTGCTCTGTATTATTTCCAAATGGAAAACACTAAAAATAAAATGATAAAAGTTCCAAATTCCTACTCCTAGGATGGTCTTGAAGGTGATGTTCTCAGGCCATTAAAGAAAATATTTTGCTCAACTGTCCCCCACAGATCTAAATTTATCTCTGTTCCATACAATGTTGGTATCCTTCCATTTGAGTGAACTGTAGAGCATGTCATCCGATGGCTGGTTATGTAAAACTTTACCTGAAGGAAATCAATCTCACATTGTTTCAAACTCTGCCTACTTTGCTGGTTTTTGTCATTGCACCATCCTGACCTAGCTTTTATATTTTTATTTATTCATTTATACAGGGCCTGAACTAAAGCCTACTGAAATGATGATTGTTTCTGTTGACTTCAGTAGGCTTTGGATCAGGCCCATACAACATGGAAAATGAAGGTAAACTTCACATTCTAATGTCTGTGAGGCCTCCTCTGATCCTAAACAGATTTAGATATAGAGTTAGTCTAACCTTCTTATGTAATAATCTTCTTTCTCCTTCTTATAGGTCCTTTTGTTCTGCATCACAGCTGCTCTGTTCATGTTCTTTTTCAGGTATGTTATGTTACTAGTATTTCTATTCATATTAAAGGATTACTTGAAACAGAAAATTGCCCACTTGTTTGATTCTGAGCTCAAGATACCACCACCTAGTATATTTCTGGAGCAGGCCTGCTGGATAGGTCTTGGTGCCTCTTGCTGCTGGTAGTCCCAAAAACTTAATTGTGCATGAAGACAAATCATCCAAAGAGTTTAGAAGAAAAGTGAGTTTATGAGGTGTGTGTTTATGTGTAGTGTATACACACACACACACACATGCAGATAAACAGCTATGGAGCGTATTTAAACTAATAAAAACTGTGCCAAGGCAGCCCTTGTAGGTATGAAACATCTATATTCCATCCCAGTTGTTCTGAATGCTTTACTGCTAGGAAGATAGTTGTTATTCTTTATAAGTAAATATTAGGAGCATATGAACTAATACATACAGCATGTACACTGATCATTTCAGTAACTGTAAAATCACAATAAAAGAAGTGATTGTAAAATATCTTTTGGAGTGCAGCTGTCCCTATTTTTAATTGGAGTGTAGATGGTTTTTAATTTGTTTTTACATACTTTATTATTATATATCAATTTGTATTCTTCTTTTTAAAACTATGCAGTTTCTGGTTTTGGTTAGAAACTCTGACAAAGTTTTAAAACGTTCCTTTTCTTAGTTTGTAAGAAATGTATATTTAAAATGTGTAACTCTTCAGTACTTGAATTTTAAATATCAGTTTCCTAACGTCATTCCATCCCTATATTTGGTAGTCATTCCTTAAAATAACATATACCTACAACCTTTGTGTTAGAATTTTCTGGTAGCAGTCCTGGAGTTTCACAACTGTGTTTTGTTTTGTTTTTCATAATTACATAGCCATTGAATCACTTACAAGTATTGGCTGAGAATATACTGTGGAGGGGGGAAACATGATTGTAAAAGCTTCTAAAAAGCATTCCTTTCCTCATCTACTACCCATTAAGATTCTGAAATTGGCAGACTCCTCTTTGTTTTGTTATGTGCTGCTCTCCTTAGCTGTGTTATGGCAGCATATGATTAGCCTGGGGGATTTCACTTGTAATGTTGATACTAGACACCTGTCTAGAGGAATTCTTATAAGAAAATCTAAAATGCTGGGTAATTTTGTGAAAGTTATGAATGCTGGTTATTTTAAAAGTTGCTAATTATTTGTTTGTTTCTGTGGTGGTGAATGAGTGATTTAAAGAGGAAATTAAAAGCTAAAATGAAAACTGAGTACAGCACAGGAATATGTGCTGAGTTCCTCCATTAACCAGGTTATGTAGGGCATTTAGCACAGCAATATATTGTATGTTGCCATTTAAAAATTCCCTTTGTTCTCTGTGAAATACTCTAATAAATTCTTGCTTAATCAAAGACATCACTGAATGTGTCATTCTGTAATACCACTGCTTGAGAGTCCCTTGGATGGATACCAAAACCACCTTCTCTCTTCTAGTAGCCCAGTCGCTTTAGGACAGGATCGAAGCATACTAATGAGGCAGCATCAGGAAATTTTAATGTCTCTATCCATGCTATAATAACATATGATTTGCCATACTGTGATCCAACTGGTACAATAACCTATTTTAGTCCGTGGCCAGAAGATTCTTTTGAGAAAGTCCTTGCTGTCCTTTGTGCAGTGTGGCATGAAAGATAAACCCAGAAGGAAGGCCAAGCTACAGGTCTACTATGACCTCACTGCACCGCACATAGTGAGGGATGTAGATTTTAAAGATTTGTGTAGTCACAGGTCCTTCAGAGGACAATCCTGTGGGGCGTGGTTCACAGTCTTTCTCCCTTTCTGCAGAACAGATTTCCTGCCTCCTCAAAAATGACTGAAATGGAAGGGCAACCCTGAGGAGCTAGATGAGAAGTTAGGACAATGCAGGACAAGGGGAGTCAGGACAAGGGGCCAGTCAGAGTACCTTCAAAGAAAAGAGAAAGGTGATGCCCAAATGTTGGCCATGATTCCAGCTATGATCTAAGTACAGCTGCACCATATTTCCATCCTCTACAAAAAAGACCACAGATGGAGGATGTTGGTCTCCGTTCTATTTCTGAGGATAAGAGTGAATGTAGTAATGGGCCCTCAAGCCCATCCCTTTTTTCTTCTCTTGAACCAGGGTCTCTCCAGTCTATTTCTCAATTAACCTGGCCCAAATGGGAAACCCGATGCAGCACTCGACTTCAGAGTACCCTCTGGATCTGCAAGCCTGGAGTCTGGTTTGCAACAAGGGAGAAAATTGTTAGCCTAGTGACTGCAGCAGAATCCCTCTGCTCCCAGATGGTGAAGACATAGGACCTTCACTCAGGACCTTGTCCTGTCACCCATCAGTGATAAATCTCTCAACCCCCAAGCTCCTTTTCCCAGGAGCCTCTGGAGGGAGCTTTGTGTAGAGAGCTACAAGGGCTGTCACAGGAAGAAAAGAAGACAAATCACATGGGGAATAGTCATTAAACTATCTGTCATCTGGTGCAGAGTTGGTCAGTAAACCCCAGGGACTTCTACTGCATGCTATTCCTGGTCACAAACAAATCTCCTGTTCCTGGTGACAAACAAATTCATCAGGAGCTCAAGTTGGAAGACCTCCAACAGATTCCCAGAAAATATGTAGTTCAAGATAGGGACACCCAAATCTACTCAGACATTCATCACATAGAGGATTTTCCCATTGTCTGTAGGGGAATATCTTCTATATCCCCATTTATTGATCCCACAGGAAAAACCTGTGCTTTATCTTGGGACAACAGCATTTCCAATGAAGGTTTTTGGCCTTTGGTTTGTCCATCAGTTCTAGAATATCCCATGTGGTTAAGGTGGCCTTTTCCAGGATCGACAAGACAACAACAACAATTTATGTTGATAATACCAGAACTGTCTTCCTGTGGCAATAACAGCCTCATGAGGAAGATGGAAATCAAATGCCTTATAAGAAAGGATCTTCCAAGCAGCTACATGGTTCAATTCACACATGCTCTTTGTTCTCCAAGTTGAGCTTGGCTGATGCTGCCTTTGCGACAAAAGTGCTCCAATCTGTAGTCCCCCACTAGTAAAAGAGAAAAAAATCAATATCTGTATATAATCTTAATAAGGTTATCTCTCTCCCTTGAGGCACACCGCTAATCTCATTGTAGCAAATATGTGGTCACTATTACATGAGAATAGGACATTTTTTCCATGTCTCCCTGAATATTTCCTTTCTCAGCACAATGAATTTCAAAGATCCAGCCCGCCCTAAGGTGATTGTTCTGTTATAAACAAAGATTTGATATGACCTTTGGTTCAGCTGATAAATGTATATGTTTCTGTTAAGCTCTGCAGTATATGAAATATCTATCTTGAGTTATTTGTGAAGTAAATTCAATATAGACCATTTTATCAGGAGTTACCATTTGCTGTGGAAGTTTAACTCAAACTGGCAGGACCAAACCTCTTCCTGCCAATGTCTGGCATGTCTGAGTCTTCCTCCACAGCAGCAAATAGGCTGAGGATCCTACATAATGTATCTGTGGACGTTATTACTCAGAGAAAGAAAATTTTCAAGTATATCCACACAAACTTTCCTATTATTCATTGTGTAAAAAGGTATTTCCTTTTCTCAGTTTTTTAAGTTTTGTCTTTTACGTTTTATGGAAAACCCCTTATTCTTGTATTAAATCAGGTGCTGTCTTATATATCATCTCTTAATCAGTCATTTTATATACCTCTTTCGTGTCCCTTCTTATTTGTCTCCTCTGTAAACTACGCCATCCTGATCTTTTTAGTCTCTCCTCAGATGGAAGTCTTTTCATGCATCCAGTTCATTTCCTCTGCTAATCTCCAGACCACTTCTATTTCTGTTTTTTTCACTTTCAAGACAAGGGTGATCAGAACTGAACATAAAGAAAAGGAGTACTTGTGGCACCTTAGAGACTAACAAATTTATTTGAGTATAAGCTTTCATGAGCTACAGCTCACTTCATCGGATGCATGCAGTGGAAAATACAGTGGGGAGATTTATATACACAGAGAACATGAAACAATGAGTGTTACCATACACACTGTAAGGACAGTGATCAGGTAAGGTGAGCTATTACCAGCAGGAGAGCGGGGGTGGGGGGACCTTTTGTAGTGATAATCAAGGTGGGCCATTTCCAGCAGTAGTTAAGAACATGTGAGGTGCTCAAGGTGACAGCATAGCACCTGTCTATAAAATGACATTACAGTATTTCTAATGTTATTTTCTAAACTAGTCTTTATGTAGCCAAACATTTTCTTTTGTTCTTTTGATGACCATTGCACACTGAGTAGATGTTTTCACAGAACTGTCCATAAAGATCCCCTGGCTTTTTTCCCCTAGCTGGTTACAGCTAATTTAGAACACAGCAATGTGTGTCAGTAGTTCACATTATTCCTTCCTTTCTTACATGTGGCTAAACATGAAAACTTCAGTGCCCAGGAGATCAGTCCAATACCTTTTATGAGCTCTGAATTTAAGAAACAACTTACATTTCAAACCATCTTTGTTACAAATGAGCAAGTTTGCAAGGCGTTAGCTATTCAAACAGCCAAATTAAACTAGATGCAATTCGGAGTAATAGTTATCTTCTTCTAAATCTACATGTGGGATCTGTGCAGAGAAATATGGCTGTAAGTCTATCTGCTCTTACTTGGCTAACTGTTTTCTGACTTGGCTCCATTTTTAGTGATCACCTCTTTTTTATGACTGAAATGTTCTAAGTTGGCTGTTTTCAGAGAGATCCCATTTTTAAAAATATGGCTGATCATTTTTTTTTTGTAACTTGGCTCGTTTGCTACACGTAAAGTATTTTGCTCAGGGAATTTGTCAGCAATCATTATTAATCATTCTGTTCGCAGGGAAAGTTTAGAAAATGGTTTGTTTTAAAGCAGGTATAAACAGGAAATCACTTGAGAGTGATTCACTTTGGCCTGCTAGACATAAAACTCATTTTCTCTTTTTCAGAGTTTGGGGCAACAAATTCATTACTG